GAAAACCTTTAAAGCATACTGTTGTTTTTTGGGGGGCTTGTCCCTGTGGATTAGTAGTCTAACCTGCATAACATGTAATCACACTGTCCCCCAGGTTGATTCTGGTTGGGGTCCTTTGTTGCATGCCCCCTCTTTCCTCTTTCACCTGTCTGTCTCTACTCCAAACATATTCCATCATTGCAATTAAACATAGCCGGTGTAGTTTAGTTTTCTCAGCTAATCAAAATAAGCTAGTAAGTGTAAATGCTTCCATGTTTCTGATCCCCCCCCTCCAACTCTCCACGGCTTGAAAATAAAATTGTTGTAGAATAAATGTAGGGTTCAGCATAAACTCAGACAAGAAAGCCTCTGACATTATGCCACATTGTATGTTGAATCTAAAGAGTGAATACAAAAAAACATGCCACTGTGTGGACCTACTGGTGTGTACAGATTTTGTGTGAACCGTGATGGGGCTGTTTACATACTATGTGCAATAATCTAGTAAATAAATTTGGGTTGAAGGTGTGTTAGGTGTCAAGTGTCATTCATAGAGTACAATCTCCTGAATCATCCTTCTTCAACAGTTCCAGATCAGACACAGTACACTATGTTTTCTACTGCGGGATGAAAGAAGAGCCCCTTCTGGGTCAGCCCAAGGGTCGAAGCAGGAGCAGCTCTCCGTGTCCATTTTCACTGCAGCTGGCTGAGGATTTTACTGCCTAGAAGTACGCAGGAATGTTCACGTCTTGGTTTTCTAAGGGACATAATGTTTTACAGCACCTCCGATGCAATTTCTGTCCGTCCTTGTTGGGCAGCTATGCAGCGTGGCAACAAGTGTTTGTGTTCCCCCTGGGAGAGACTGGTAGCAGGAAGCTGAAGAAGAGGAGAGAACAGCAGGGAGCCAGAGAAGAGGAGAAGCGTGAGACATCACAGCTCCAATAACAAGACATAATAAGACAGGTAAGCAAGCTGCAAGCTGGAAGAGAGATTTTTAAAGTGAAGTTGGAAGAAACTGACGTTTGAGCCAATTAAAACCTTAAGCTGACAATTTTTCATTATTTCTTCTACCTCCCCTGAATTAAATTTTTGGTCAATGTGGAAAAGACAGCAGTGAAGCACCAACTCCAGTGAAATCCAAACTAATCAAATCTAACCCTTATACCAATAACACAGAGACAGAAAGAAAGTTCATGTCCACAAACTGTATATGAAAGGTGCTGACTCACGTGGGACAGGACAACAGGGCCTCGCAAGACACTGCATTAGCTGTATTAGAGTCATCGGAAAAAGTCTGTTTCCGAGTTATATAAAAGTTTGCTAGGTTAGTAGTATAAAACACGGTATGGTACCAGTGAGAGTTAATGGACACCTGCCAGCCAATCAGAGAGACTTATTTTCTTTGGCCTTGGTATTTTATTGATGGTTTACTGATGGCTGCAGTAAAGCTGCTTTCACTCAGGGTGTAAATAAACCAAATCTGTTTTTGTGTCTCAGTATTCTTAGTATTCTCCATGAATTAGTGCAGCACTCATGGTGTGTGGTTAGTGAGTATAGTGCACATTGTTAGATCTGCGCGGCTGGTCAGTTTGCAGAGCTCAGACTAGATTTCATCCAAGTGTATTTTAAGCCATATCAGATGGACTGTGAGGAACCAGCAGCCTGGTTTAAATACTGCAGGTCAGGGGAACCATGTAGCATATAAACTTGACGCAATAGATACAGGAAAAAAAGAAGAAACAAAAACAGAAGAAGGAGGAGGAAAAGTTTCAACACGGTGAAACATCAGGAGAGAAGTCAATCATGAATCAAAGATATTCAAATCAATTAATTTAGTTTTGTTATGATTGCAATTTAGAATTAATGAGAGTGCTGATTACATGGCTCTTCATGGCATTTTCTCCACTGCAGTGGCATTTAACGCCCCCCACATTGTTTTCCCAGTGATGAAGTTCAGACGTTTAATAACTAAATCTGACAGTAGTCCAGCCTGCCATGTTCCTGTGTTGATCATACCTGACAAACAGTCCTGTTTTTCATAAAGGAAATAAAACTAAGTGTCTACAGCAATGCTAGCGGCTTTGTGAGGCTGTAGCCTACTTTAGCACAGAGACGCTTTGAGCTGAATGCTGACATCAGCATGCTAACGTGTTTAAAATGACAATATTAGCATGCTAATGTTTGGCAGGTTTACTCACCATCTTAGTTTAGTGTCTTGTACTAAACTATAGTACTTGGTCATTATAATATATATATATACAAATTTTAGTTTTGACATGATAATGGCACTGGATGAGAAACAGAATGTCAATGCGTGTATTACAGTTTCATGGCAAATATCCAATACTTTCCTAGACATTTTGCCCAAAACCACAAATGTCAACCTCAAGATAGTGTGAGATGAAAAAGTCATTTGGAAACACTCTTGTGGGAGCCACGGATGATTGTACAAAATTCTGTGCCAATCTATCTAGCAGATATTGAGGTATTTGACTGGATGAGTGAAAAGTTTGACCTGCTAGTAATAATAATATATATATATAGCACACAAATGCAGCTCAGTGTGAAAAATGAAAAGTCATCAGCAATGTCATTAAGACTCATCTTCCGGGAAACATGAATGCCTGCACAGAATGTTACAGAAATCCATCCAGCCTTTTGTTGTTTAGATATTTCAGTCTGGACCAAAGTAGTGGACCTACCAACCAATACACCAACATCACACATCCTTATAGCTATGCTGCTAGCATGGCTAAACATGCACTATATAGACAAAAGTACTGGGACACACCTGTCCCAATACTTTTGGGAGGAGCTGTTTTTTCATGGTTTGGTCTTTGTTGAGGGAAATCTTAATACTACAGCAGACAATTTTTGACAATAGTTCTTCCAACACTTTGGGTTTGGCCTTCTTCTTGTTTCAACATGACAATTCCCCTGTGCACAAAGCCAGCTCCATAAAGAAATGGTTTTCCCAGTGCGGTGTGGAAGAACTTGACTGGCCTGTACACCTTTGGGATGAATTAAACTGGAAAATTCCCACAGAGAAACTACAAAATCTTGTAGAAAGCCTTCCTTGAACAGTGGAGGCTGTAATAGTGGTAAAGGGGGGACCAACTCCATATTAATGCGCATGGATTTAGAATGGGATGTCATAAAAGTAATGTGTAGGCATCCCAGTACTTGTGCCCATATGGTGTACTTCCACAATTACTTTCTTACTCTTCCTCCTTTTCCACTCTATAAAACAAAAACATCACAGGGACAAGCGTTAATCCCTGAGAGATTCAACACAAGCAATTTCCCAAGAGCTCCATGTACCATTCCAGTTTTTAAGCATCCATCTAAACTGGCATATTCTGAAAACATTGAGACTTGGTGGCTGCAGTTTGAACGGGCCTCCTAACCCTTGCTCTGCCTATCACGCTGTTTCTACATTCTTGGCAGTGGTTGGTGAGTGGTGAGTGTTGGAGGATCTTAAGTGAGTGACAACGGTCCTGCAGGTTGTCAGCAAGAGCGAGTCGTCCTCAGTGCTGATTTACACTCGATCGGCGACAGCTGAGTCGGGCAGCTTGGAGAGACAGACCCATTCCTGAGAGAGGGAGGAGGGGAGCCCTGCTCGACGACTAACACTCCTTCACATTGTTGGCTATAAAAAGCAAAGCCCCTTGGCATCTCATAGGTCAACCAACACATGTAAATATTTCAGTATTCATTAAAACACAGGGTACAAAAGAAACGTTAAAATTGTGCAGTTGTCTGGGGGACAGATTGGATTTTAAAATATTCATGGATGAAAGGAAAAGTCTTGCTAACTCTCTACTTTCTCCTAATTGGAAAAGAGTGGACAACTGGGAATATTCAAATCTGGGAATTTATGCACTGTGCTGCAAAAGGTAAGAAGACAGCTATAGCATATACATCCTGCGCATCCTGAGTGGAGGAGGAGGTGATGAAAAGATGAATAAGAAATATGCGAGAAACCCCCCACTGTGAATGGCACGTCTGTTATTTGTGGAAGAGGGACAGGGAGACGTTTTCATTGCATTAAGATACAGTAGAAGCAGTGACGTGTGTATTACCCGTTGTCCAATGAATGTGATGAATCTGTATGCCATCAGATTAGCTTCCCCAGACTGTCAATCACTGATGGAAAATCTGATTTAGGTAAAATACACAATTTATACGATAAGGCTGATGATCATGTATATTTTTCTTATTGTCTGTTGCACTGTGTGACTTGATCTTTCAAGGACATAGACTTGGTCATACTAGTTTATTTTGAGCAAATCTCATTTATGCTGTCCTGCTGACCCAAAAAATAAATCATTAAATGCTGAAAATAGTCCCCTAAATACACACTATTCACTCCTGTTTGAGAAATCTCTGCTAAAAACTACAGTACCCATCTGAATAAAACAATTACTTCGCCCCTTTTAAAAATGAAACATATCTGTGAACTTTTTTTTAAAGTTGTGTGTCTTCAGAAAGAATCAGTAGTCTGATCGCCACAATTCTTTCTAAATTCTTCAATTCTTAATACTCTCACTTGGTGGAAGAGTTATAATTTATTTTTATCTAACTTCAATTCATCAAATCACATAAAAAAGTCATAATCAAATGAACTCAACCAATAAAGCAAAACACCTCTTGCTTACTTAAAAATATCTCTTTCAAACTTCATCATGTATTTCTAGGTACTATATTAATTACACTATTCTGGTTTCTATTCTATTTCACTTTGCCATATCGGATGACTGCTCTAAAAACTTAATTTCCCCACAGGGACCATTATAGTTTCATGTTATCCTCTTGCTCCCCTGGAAGCTGCCCTGCTGGCTAGGTGGTTGTAACTAAGCCTTTTCCTAAAGGCCAGGGAAAGCCCTGGAGATAGAGACACCAATGTGTTTGTGGGTTGGAGGGATGTAACACTATGTATAGCTTTGAAAACAGAGAAGGAGGGATCAGGGGTTGAGGAGACACAGAACACTTTGCACTCGTCGAGTGGAAGAAGAAAGGTTTAAATACCAGGCAGAGCACGGAGGAAGAGACGTGAAGTCGTCGCACCTCTCTCTACATTCAAATGTGATATTTCAGTTGAAATTATTTTTTCCAAACTAAACATTTTTTCCTTTACAAAGTGTGGCAGAACAGCAGAGGAAGTACCAGAGGAAGACGTTGAAGAGTTTTTGACATTTTCTTTTAGGAACAAAGTTCTTCATTCAGGTACAGAAACATATCTTGCATGTTATAATGCTCCCCTTAAAAAAAACACTTTACAACATGATGTTAATCGAGTTGTATGTTAAGATATTTATGGAATCCATTTATTTGTCCTGTTGGCTAGGCTCGGCAATGAAGGTCAGTCGTTGAGTCTGTCGATTTTAATTTGATCCAGAATAAAGTATCTCAATAATTATTTGGATCCTTTTCCATGCCATTTGGTACAGACATATTGGTCCCCACAGGATGAATCCCAGAGACTTGCTGATTTTTTTTTTGAGTATCAAAATGTTCACGAAGATACAGCAAAAAACAAACAAACAAAAAAAACAGATTAAATTCCAGTACAGGTCGCATGCTTGCACTAGACTTAACAAATGTTTAGGGTGCTCAAAGGAATTCTGTTGTTAGAAATCTCTATATAAGGTAAGATATAAACACATCAGCGTACATTATATGATAATAACTTGCTATGCACATCTGTAACTAATTCTAATGCCATATGAATGGACAATGTCTAAACATTTTTTAGCATGGTGATTTACATTATCCATCCTACATGTAGGGAATCAGACACATTTAACTGATGCGACTTACAATTACTATTTATGTTAGAGGTCGCATGCCTCTGGAGCAACTAGGGGTTGAGGGTCTTGCTCAGGGACACATTGTCACAGTGGTAATCAAACCCAGGTCTCCCACACCAAAGTCATGTGTCTTATTGACTGCGCCATTGCCACCACAAAGCAGCCAGCTAAAATGTTGAGCCACATACCCACCAACATCTTACTACACAGCTTCTTAAAAAATGCTGTCTGATCAGCATCTTGATTTGTCACACCTGTGAGGTGGATGGATTATCTCTGCAAAGGAGAAGTGCTCACTAACACAGATTTTGACAGATTTGTGAACAATATTTGAGAGAAACAGGCCTTTTGTGTACCTAGAGAAAGTCTTAGATCTTTGAGTTCAGCTCGTGATGAAAAGGGGCAAAAACAAAAGTGTTGCGTTTATAATTTTGTTCAGTGTACATACATACACACACACACACAGACTAATTTCAATGCTAGCAAATGTTTATAAACATAATACTATATTATACAAAGCCCACCTAATGTACTGTATGCACCAATTCAGTTGCACTGAACCTAATTCAATTCAATTCAATTCAAACTAGAATTACTCTCTAACTGTTACATGCTAATGTTACCTGGCCAACATTAAATTGTTTTGCTCCAGTAGTTGTAAGGTTTAAAACTTTAGTAAAGTTTTACCTGTCCAGCAATTTTGTTACTGACCAGCTTTAGAGGGCTGCAAGTGTGGCTACAGACTTTAACGTGGAGCCTCATCTGCCTGTTTGTTTCTTCTTCTTATCTGTCCAGTAATCACCAGACCTCCGGAGTCTGGAGCAGAGAGGGCAAAGTTGGGTCACAGTGTCCTGTGTGTGCAGCAGCACAATGGGCAGGGAGGACAACAACTGTGGTTCTTGGAGAGGTAACCTTATTTCCACCTATGATTTGGTCATTTAGCTTATATTCATGTCGAGTGTCTGCTATGTAGGAACGTCAAAGACACTTGAGAAGAAAAGAGTATTGGTTTCCTTCCAGAAATGAAGGACATTCATTTTTCCCTATTCAATTCAATTCAATTCAATTTTATTTATATAGCGCCAAATCACAACAACAGTTATCTCACAGCGCTTTTCATAAAAGAGCAGGTCTAGACCATACTCTATGATGCTATTTACAGAAGCCCAACAGTTCCCACCAAGAGCAGCACTAGGCGACAGAGTCCACTGTTTCTGTGCTGATACCCAATAACTGCTCCTTATTATTCATTGACAGTGACAGTTAAAAGGACTTTTGGGAATTACAATTATATTGCAAGAAAAATAGACTTTTCTGTTTACTCAAATAAACAACATAAGATCTCAACAAATAAGTATATAATACTACCTGAAAGTATACTTGTGTATTTCATGATCATTCAAGTTTTTCTTAATTGTATGTTTGAGAGGTTTTCATTGTTTGGTTTTACTAGCGTGTGTCTGAATCTCAATCAGGCCAGCCTTCATACACTTGTGATGCTGGTACTTGTCGCTTCTGATGAGAGTGTTTATAGTAACTGTTTTAAAAGTAGTCACGCAGCAGGGAATCACCTCTCTGTCTTTTCTTTTTCTGATAGACGTTGATGACCCCAAAACAGACGTCCACGCTGACAGAAAGACAGGAATCTTCAACCAGCGCACACTCTGCACCTCGACAGAAAGTAGCAAATCGGTACGATTCTCTTCGTCCAGTTCATTGTCCTCCTTCTCTCAGATTCTCTCTGATTGCGAGCCTGCATGGCCAGAATTTTCGAAGGGATCCTTCAGTAGTTTTTACTTGGTGTCTTTAAAGTGAGGACATGATAGTAATGTCTCCAACTAAAATATGAACATATATTTTAGGATGTGGTGCATCCCTGGAAATAATCAATCTGGATCTAAAATAAACAATTTTCAATATATGGCTTTCCAAAAAAAAGTTGATAGAGAATAAGTTGAGCCACATGGGGGTCCGGTCCAAACCCACAATAGGAGTTGAAGCCTGTCTGTGTTCCATTTATAGAAGCATGACATGATGGTTTCTGGTCTAAAATGCATAATTTCACATCATTTCGATGATGAATAAGAATGTAAAGTAAAATTACAGTCAAATATCTGGCTCAGCTTCCCCCAGGTCTTTGGTTCAAATTACCCAATCCCTGCCATTTTAACAAAATTGTATAACCTCATATTGTAACTTCCCAAAGCACTAACACATGCATAAGATTTTCTCAAACCTGTCTGTAATTGTTCAGACACAAGAATAAGGACTCCTTGAACATAAAAATAATCACTTTGAAAGGCAAAAAAACATTGTTTTTTTTAAATCTTAAATCACTTATTCCAGGGGCCTTTCTCCTTCATAAAAGTGGATGACTCTTCAATAATGTGTCGTCACATGACCAATTTTGTCTGTGGTTGCCGAGAAACACTGGTTGGCTCAACTTCCCCACGGCTCAAATCATCCCGCTGTCCCCTATATAGGGACATATGTATTATTTTTAAATGTGCCACCTGTTATGATTTTATCTGAGAAATTGGGTTGTTACACTTGACACTTGTAAGATTTAATTTTAATACCTGACAGAACTGGGCTTTTCTTGCTCTTCTTGGTTTACAATCATCTGTGTCGTCTTAAGATCAAACTGTCCCTTTTGAAATTAAGTCCTTTTTAAGTCATAACCAAACTGACATGTTTCAAAATGTCACCCTTTCTCTTGTCCATACGTCTTGTGTGCAACACTCAACGCAGCCTGATGACAACTCGCTCCAGCTCGAATCTGCTTTTCTTGGTGACAAAGCTGTCAACGCTGATGATGATGGAGTGCAGAAGAGTCACAAGGGGAAGAGCTGTGAGGATGATGAAGACGGCCACCTGGTCTATCACATTGGCCTCGTGTTGAAAAATAGATGTACTCAACACCTACCTTTTGTCTTTAGTGTCTTTTCTATCCTTGTCATAGCTTGGATGTTTTGAGTTTGAATCATGGTAAGATGAACTGTGCTCTCACACCACCAGCAACTCCAGAAATAATTTCTGGTCACCATGTCATCTGCCTGGAGGTGACTCTGCTTTCACACACTGTACTTACGTCACACTTCTGTAAAAGTAAATTAGTTCTCATGCAAACTGTCAGGTAGCTCCTGTTCGATCAGTACCAATGAGGTTGCTAGTGGTGTGATCACAGCTAGCTTGGGTTTGACTGAATGCCTCTTGTATGTCATTAGAGTGTACATGTTGTGATTCTGTATATACACAGTGTAGTTCAACTGCAAGAAACATTTAGGAAAATAAGAGACGATCCTTTGTTTACCTTGTCTGTCTTGAACAGCTTTAACTCTGAATAGCAGATTAGATGTTGTTGACAGAAAGTGTCTGAACATCCTCCACAAACAGGATTAGCTCTTAATTCACAGAATTGCAACATGAAAAATATAAAAAAAAAAGCTTCAAAAATGTTATACAGCTTTTTTATTAAACTGCATTCATTTGGAAGCATTTTACAGTCTTCTGCCTGTAAATGCCTGTAAAAAAAATAGTGAAATGAAAGTAACTTACTGACCACAATCACTTGATAAATATACTTGGTGAAGCACACAGTATTTTCAAATACTTCCTGTTTTTTTCCTCCTCCTACATAAAATCCTTTTGTGGTGGGTGAAATAACCTCTTTATTTTTTTGCACTGACCATTAGGTTTGCCTTTTAAGTCATTGTTGATTACATGGCTAACCCAAATGTTTCTGTCCTCTGCAGATGAGGTGGTATTTACACTAGGAGTAGGAGCCTTTGGAAAAGTGGTGGAGTGCATTGATAGAGACAAGTAAGCATGCACGCTTAATGAACCTTACAATTTGTAATCTTTGTGATAAGACTCTTAATGTCAGATCTGTCCAAACTTCTTGCTTTTTTGGTTTCCACCCATCATGAAAACATCTTGAGTTATTATACAGAAACCAGAAACTGTTTCATCAGCATGTAAATTGAATGTGTGTGTGTGTGTGTGTGTGTGTGTGTGTTCAACAGAGAGGAGCATGTAGCCGTGAAGATTATGAGGAACACGGAGTGTTTCCGTGAAGTAGCGAGGTCTGAGATCGCAGTGCTGCAGGAGATCAACATCCTGGATGATGACAACATATTGTGAGTGTGGCTGCAGCAGACCCTCAGAGTAAATGGAGGGCGACTTGCCCTCTAAAAGCATTAAAATAAAACTTTCATGTCCTTGTTATGCGTGCTAAAGGTAAGGATAGCTGGGCTTTTAATTGGCACTTGTAAAACAAGCTATAAGCATATTAATTCTTCAGCTTAAAAATGCTACGCCTCATGCAAACGTCACTGACTCTGTCCCGTCAGTGCCTGTGTGAGGATGTTGGACTGGTTCGAGCATGAAGGTCACATCTGTATTGTGTTCGAGCTGCTTGGCCTCAGCACCTTTGAGTTTCTCCGACAGAACAAGTTCCTTCCATTCAGCGTAGAGCAGATCAGACACATGGCCTTCCAGATCTTCAGAGCCGTCTGCTGTGAGTCAAGTGTGTATGTGCGTGCCACTTTTAAACAGCCCTGTGACCTCTGACCTCGTCATTATTTGTAACTTTTCATGGTAGTGATCTTGGAATCGGAGCTTCTTGTACTTTGTACGGCTCTGATCACTTTGTTTCTGTCACCACAGTTTGTTCAACAGCAACTTGCACTTTTGGGTGACATCAGCCAATCATTTAATTAAGTCCAACTGTATGCGGCACGACCATGGACAATCTGAAATATTCTACATTACACAGCAGAACAATTGGTTTCTGTGATTTCAAGTCAACTGAAAATTAGCCCATTAATACGTTTTGTCAAGTATTATGTAAAAATGCCAAAAAAGTTTAATTTACATTTGGATGGAAACCTGGTAACACAAACCTGGTAACATAAACCCACTCATTTGGTGCAATGCTGAACTGTGACACACAATTACGATGTGTGTTTTTGTGTGCATTTTACAGTCCTGCATCGTAACAAGTTGACCCACACAGATCTGAAGCCAGAAAACATCCTGTTTGTCTGCTCTGACTTCGACCTGGAGTACAATGATGAGACAGTAAGAGTTTTGCAAAATCTTTCTGTCTGTTAACAGACAGGTTTGTTAAGTAATTAAGGATGTTTAGCTGTGTGTGTGTGTGTGTGTGTGTGTGTGTGTGTGTGTGTCAGAAGTGTGAGGAGAGGAAACTGAGGAGTCTGGATGTTAAGGTGGTGGATTTTGGCACAGCCAAATTTGACCACGAACACCATGAATCCCTGGTGTCAACACGTCACTACCGAGCTCCAGAGATCATTCTGGGTACGCACACAACTCACAAACACACATGCACAAAATTGCTAAATTGGACCAGTTTCACTGCATGTCAAATAATCCATCTTCTCAGTTTTAACTTTGTGTGTTTCTGCTCAGATCTGGGCTGGAACCAGTCCTGTGATGTTTGGAGTCTGGGCTGTGTTCTTATGGAGTTTTACCTGGGACGTACACTCTTCATGGTACATATAAACACACGCACACAGACACACACACACACACACACTGAAACAATAGTAAGTTTTTCTGCCCTGCCTGTCTGTTGTTTCAGACCCATGACAGCAAAGAACATCTGGCCATGATGGAGAAAGTCCTGGGACCGATCCCCCCCCACCAGCTGAAACAGACCAGGTGACCAAACAAACACACACACATATACTGTACATGCTGTTAAAGAGGAGGTATTATGCTTTATGGCTTTTTGCCTCTCCTTTAATAAGTTATATATCTTTCTTGTGCATGTAACAGGTTTGCAAAGGGAAAAAGCCCAAAGGGAGTTCCCATCTCCCTCAGAAAACTCTGTTCTGAACTGCCTGTAAACAGCTCGTTTGTAGTCCAGCCCTTCACTTCCTTTACTTGTGACATCACAATGAAAATGCGTCATAAAGCTTGCCAAGCGGCTAGCGGGGTCAGACACGCCCTCAGACCAAGCTAGTCTGAGCGGAGGCCCTTTGGCTCGACTCGCCTTTGTTTGGTTTTCCATTGTAGAAATGTTGCACCTGTAAATGCTTCCAGGTACTTTTTTTCATGTCACCTCACCTCCGTCGAGGTTCCAAGCGAGCTGAAGGATACTAAAATCTAACATAAAAAAACATGACAGACTGCTGATTGGTCAGAGAGAATATTCACTATTCACTGCATCATCATTGCGTGCACCAGACAGAGGCCAGCAACAGAAAGTTTTGAGGTGAGAAATCAGCTGTGTAGATTTCGAATACAGTTTTACGAGAAGTGATGGCGGAACAAAAATGTGCTTGAATATTTTCGGAGTTGAGGAGCTCCGCAAGTGGCTGCGGGGGAAGCCTGCGTATGGGGTTGATGTTCTTATGTAGTTTGTATGATGCTTTGGCAACATTGCTGTTATACATTCATGCCAATAAAGCTAATTTGAACTTTACCACACGGGTGAACAGACGATCTGGCAAATACTGAAGGAATGAGCCGGGTATAAATCAGCAGTGGTGATTAGTAGATTGACTTCAGGTGTGTGGGAAGCTCCAAGAACTATCGCTGATGAACACCTGCCCGGTGGCCTGCAGATACGCCCAAAAAGGGGAAGGGGAAAAATATAGGCGAAACAAGGGACTGGGAAGGATGAGCCACCAGATCACCACAAATGTGCTCTCCTCGGCTGAAAGTGTGACTTGAAGTGGAGTGTTGGTGGGGAGGAAGTGAGTTGAAAAAGTGTCGCAACTGCAACTAACCACTGTATAAACGTGTGTTCAGACCAAACGTGAAACTAATTTTTCGCATGGTGCGATTACATACAGAGTCGATACGAAGACGTAAATAGAACTGATAGTTTCAACTTTCGTGAAAGCTTATCAGCGAAGGATTCAACATCTTTACTACACAGAGACAGAACAAAATAACTATTCCGTTGTCTTTGGGACGGTGTGACAGGTAAAAGGCAGAGGTTATTTCTGCCATGGTTGATTGCAGAGATAAACGTTGCTAAGGTAGATGATATCTATGGATGAAAGCCCCTTCTCCTTTCTTGAAGGAGCACTCCCACTGGCTCTTGTTTGGCAGGTTGCAAAATAGTCCAAAACACACTGCAAGCGGCTGTATTCATGTGAGTAACGCAAGGCAAAAATCAGCTTGGCGTTTGGTCTGAACACACCTTTACCTGTATGTGTACATCATTTTCTGCAGAAAGCCAGATTATGTGCACAACGAGCGTCTGAACTGGGACGAGCAGAGCTCCTCTGATGATTACAGACAACACTGTAAACCTCTGAAGGTACACACTACTCAGATCAGCCAATCATCTGCAGCCGTGAGGTAGCGGAGGCAGCAGTGGAAAGTCTGAGTCTGTTAACTATCTGTCTTTCAGCATTACATCCAAAGGAATAGCGAGGAAGAGAGGCAGCTGTTCGACCTGCTCAGCTGCATGTTGGAGTACGACGTGTGCAGACGGATCACCCTGGAGGAGGCGCTGTGGCACCCGTTCTTCAGCCCGCTGAGGATGCAGAAGCAGCAGCGCAGCTAGCACACAAAACACACACACATACACACACACACACACATTCAACATCTACCTCGGGGTTGTAATTTAAGCGTTGCAATTACTAAACTGTTTGGGTTTGTAGTTTTGAGTTGATGAGTTAGATGATTTTCAGTTTCGTAGAGCATTCCTGTCTACTCAAAATATATATTTTACGGACATCCCATCATGATCCAACAGTCTGCAGTCAAGTAATTCAGAGTAAATGTTTTCTTTCACTTCTTTCTCAGTCATTTCTGTCAGGAGTTTGTTAATAAATAATAATATTTTGCATTTCCGTGTGTCTTCATTCTGTTTTATACAATGAATTTCTACTGCTATTAACTTCTGTTCACACAAACTTGTCAACTACAAGACTACATTTAATTTGGCCCTAATTTCTATCCCTTATGATAACACTGTATTCATCAAAATCTATGCGCACATTACTTTCTCACTTAGTCACTGATGTGTTGGTGCTGCATCAACAAGTATCACTGGGTCCTCCAGCAAGAATCTAAGAAGGTGCTTGTATTCACACCCAGCAAGACTTATCTAAGTAAGCTAATTGCGAATTAGACTCCCAGCATTGAAGCTAGACAATGGCATAGATGCTGCAATGACAAACTACTGCCCAAGCCTAGTAATCCTACATTTAGGAATTACCTGTTTTTTTCAGAGTTGGAGTCTCACTGTGAGGACGGGTCATCTGGAGTGCTGCTTGCAGTCACTGAGGGCTAAGCTATGTATTGATGATGTCCTTATACCTCTAAAAACCACAATATCTTCTTCTCAATTTCTCTACCGTTAATACCAGATATGTGAGTGATGTGTTGGTGTGGAGACTTTTTTTAAAGACACCATTGAAGGAGTCCGGCTGATCCTTAAGCAATGGGTGTTCCTCAGCTTAATATCCTCTTAACAATGACACATTAAGGATACCTTTCAATGTTGTGCTCTCTGGGCCAATATGTTGAATTTATCCACCTACAGCTTATAGCTTACTGATCTTATGCTACACTTATTTTGCACCAACGCCCTCAAATTTGCAGGCAAGACAGTTTTCTTGACTTTAGACATTGATATCTCCACAGTGGCTGAACACATTTTTACCATTCAAACTGCATTTGAAATGTCCATCTCCCTTCGTTATTTCTGCAATTTGTACAATGAAAGTAGCTCTTAGTCATAGCCCTTTGACATAAGACCCTGGTAACATAGGGATGAGCCCAAGCAATATAATGTAAGTACCTATTTTTTAAGTAACTTGCCAAACACTGATTATTCCTGATAGAAATTATGACCAAAACTATTAAAACAAACATCTTGTAACCTGGGATTTGCCTTATTGTTTATCATCCCAGACACAGTTATATGTTCAAAAACACAGGTCCAGTTTAGGTTTATACACAAAGAACCCAGGATGATCCTGCTGGGCACTGCTGAAAGCCAATGCATGTCACAGCGTGACAAAAGAACCAAGGGTAAATTGGCTCTATTTCCAGCTCAGCTGCTAGGTTTTATGTGGAGACTGTAGTCTGTTAGTCTAAAGTAAATGTTAGCTATCTAACCCCACCATCAAATCTCTGACATCACCTTACTTAACTGCTTTTTTGAAAGAGACTGCTGACACACAAAGCCGACGATATTTTCAAGCAACCAAGGAAGTTTACATGACTGAATCGTTATCTAAATATTAAATGTGCAATAGTGGCCGCTCTTAACCATCAGTTTAAGGCTAATAAATCACATGGATGTAATAAAGCAATATAAACCAAAGCGGATCCTTGGGCCAATAAACACAATTTATTCATAATGTCATGGGTTCCAGTCTGTCTCATGACCTTTACTGCATGTTATCTGTGATCTTGCCATGCCTATTTTACTCGGCACAGAAGAGTTAACAAAAACCTAAAGCCAAAATACAGTAATAAAAAGTTGGCACTCAAATTTTGAGATTACTGTAGTATCAAATGCTGGATAAGAATATTAGTTTATTTTTTTCCCAGTGGTAAGGAATTGTCAGGCCTACATCACAGCAAAATGATGATATAAGGTGAAGCATCTGCAGACTGAGGAAGTGCAGCTTCAAAAGATGGCCATCACTTTCAACTCATCAAGCCAGTTAGTCTAGCTTGGCAACATTATTATAAAATCCAACAGATGTTCCTATTCATTTATGTTATTTCAACACCTGCTGAGTAAATGGCAGCTCCTGCATAAACTATTGAAAGGAGGACGTTAGCTGTTTCTCTTTTATAGGTAGGGATATGATGGTTGCAAATTATAAGTCTGTCCAAACACACAGCAACAAGTAATCCTGTAACCTCGCCACTTTGTACGTTACCCTGTTACATGCAGAGTCACGATGTAACACAGGGAGTGCTCAAATCACAGATGGTACTATGCAAGGGCCTGTGTGGCTGAAACTGTTTAGTTCCTGGTCACACAGATATTTGACCAATCACTTTAGGAATAATGACAGTATCAGCTGGAACCACAAATTCAACGGTCATTGCAGAAAAATACATTTACATTTTTGGTAGGTACCAAAACAAACACCAAGGAGGTATATATCTCTGTTTTATAAAATTACAGCCCACCTTTACAAGTTAACTTCAAGGTATCCCCCCCTCACCTGTTTCAAAGATGAAAAAGGAAATTAGAAAGATTATCCTGGCAAAACCAGGACACCAACATGTTCTTCAATCATAACACAGGAAACACAGGAGAACACACTTTTGATTAGACTTAAGCCTCCCAGGGCTTCTGTAGTCCTCTGCAAGTCTCTGCAGGATATTAAACTTCCAATAAGTGTGTATAAAGGGCTCAAAAAGTCAGTGTGCGCCCTCATACTTTCACTGATTCCTCAGTGGGACAGGCCTGAACCCTTGCGGACTTAATCAGGAACATGTCAGAGTCTGTGAAACTGGACCGTTGAACTCTTTCCTGCCCTCTGCTGCTACTGACCTGTGACCCCTCTGGTTTCACTGGGAACCAACTATCTAAATTAAACTGTAGTGCTGTCACTTTTATGAGTCATCGGCCCACTGTGATTCAACATAGGGAACATCAGCAGAGGTGGATAGTCTGTGTTCTCAGCAGGACTGACAAGCACAAAATGTGCTGCTCTTCTTTGTATAAGATCTTTTCTATAAAAGACGTCGCCTGTTGCACAAATGTGTTCTGAAAGGAAAAAAAACACTGGTTTAATATAACTTGGATCTTATTTTCATAGCTCACCTTTATTTTCTCTTGCAAATAAGTTTGGCTAACCTGTGGTTGTCATGTTTTTTGTCCAGTCTGGCTTCTTATTAGCCATGTTTCAACAGTACCAGATCTCAGAAATTGCTTTGGTGTGTACACTGTTATCATAACTGGAGAAAGAGAAATGACGGTCAAAATTTCAATATAATTTAAAATCTACAGTCATGCTAGTGGCTTTGTAAGGATGTATTTGGTCACAGTGATGATGCTAACATGCTAATGTTTAGCAGGTATGCTAACATTTGCTAACATACACTGAAAAGAAAGTAGCCACCACAGAGCTGATGGGAATAGCATCAGTTTTGCGTTAGACAAATTAAAATTTTAATCTGATGGTGGCACTATATGGTTACTAAGATGATTACAATTCATCTCGACATTTTAGTCAGAACCATATTCTGCTGTTATATTTTATATTTGATTCTGAATTATGTCATAGATTCTCTTTTTATAACAGGAAAAATCAGGGGATCACCAAAGTCCATTGAATTCCTCCTCTGGGGATCATGAATGTCTGCACAAAATGTCAAGACAATCTATGTGATAGTTGTTGAGATATTTCAGTCTGGACTAAAGTGGTGGAGCGACGAACTGACCATAATGCTACAAGTGATTTATCTTGAATGGCACATGATTTTTGTTATGCATTCACTGCCAATGTATTTCACAGTTACATTAGTACTAAACACATGATGATGGATAGTTCGAAAACCAAGAGTACATTACATTGCATTACATAGATCAAAAGAAAGGGAGAGAATGTTTTGACTTTAAAAGTTTATTAGTTGTCAGGTCTAGATTGGGCCCAGGCTGAAAGGAACTGGATGGTTTATAATCAGTGGATCAAGATTGAATACGGAAAGTAATACTTGATATTCTTATTTTTGGCTCATAGACCCCTGGAGTATTAAGGCTGTGTTTCCCCAAAACATCTTAATAATTGGTCCCTGGGTAAGTGCTGAAGAAGAACAATATCAACTCTCAACTCCAGTATTTAAAAAAGATTCCAAAAATAACTGTGGTTGTGAATAAATGAGGTCAAATTCATGAATCAATTTAAAGTCAAAGTAAAGTTAAAGCTAGTACCCATGTAAGTCAGAGTCCTGTTCAGGTCTTATTCAGAATTAGAGCTTAACCTATTAATTTCATATTCAGAATAAAGATATTCACCTTTTGAGGGGACACGTGGCACAATGTCAAGGCCTCAAAAGTAGTCCTCATATTTTACTAACTGGCAGGTTAAATTTTGACAGGGACATGTTACAGCATTTCAGAAAGATAGGGTGAAAGTGGAGCTCACTTTTCTCCGGTCTTAAAAGTTGTTTATGTTGTATGTCCCTTTCTGTATCTAGAATATCACAGTGATAACACACTCTAGCCATGCTTTTGTTTCCACCGCTTCTCTGGTTTCTTTCACAAGCTGGTCGTGGCAGATAGAGGCACAGTGTGAGCCTTGTCGTTAGGGATAATTGAGTGCAACAGTGAAGGGTTGAGGGTATCTCCACCTGAAACATCAGCTTGAGTAAGCACAGGTGGCTGCGAGTCACATCTTTCTGTGACGCCTGGTGATCCAGCAGCCCACGACCTTCCTGTAAAGTAGGAAAACATGGCTGCTAACTGCAGCCGCACCTCCCTTTGCCAGAACGCGTACACCAGGGGGTTGATGAGTGAATTGGATAGTCCCAGCAGCCACAGATAATTCTCCAACACGTCTGTGAGTTCGCAGCTTTTACACAGAAGGTGCACTATGCACGCCACAAAGAAGGGGCACCAAAGGACCAAGAAGCAGCCCACAAGCACCGCCACCGTCCTCAGGGCCTTGACATGGCTCCAGTAACCGCTCCTCAGCTGCTGATGCTGGTGGTGATGTTCGTAATATTCATGGCCATGGTGGTCAGTACTCCTGGAACAAGCTTGCCTCACTTGGCAGATCTGCTTCTGGTGGATGCAGGCTATCTTCAGGATGTCCAGGTAGATGTAAACAAAAACAGAGAGTATCGGGAAGAAGCACACGCTGAATAACACAATCATGCCCACTTGGTGAATGACGGAGAAAAAGGCACAGAAGCCGTCGTAGCCGTCCGCCTGCAACTGCCGCACCATGACTGAGAAGAAGAGGACATTGGTTATTGGTTATATATGACACTAGTTCTTCTTACACTCATGTACTATCAAGAAAACAGTCCTCAAAGTCAATCAGTAAACTACAAAAACAAAAATGTCAAAAAAACACTCTAAAAAAGTAAAAAAGCAACTAAGGCTACTTTCATACTGCAGGCCGAAGTGACCCAAATCCCATATGTGACTCAGATCTGATCTTTTTATAACAGTGTGGACAGGCCAAGTCACGTGGAATCTGAACTTTTCCAGTTTGGATTTGGGCCACTTTCATATGTTGTCCAAATCCGATACAGATCTGATCTTTTTAAACGTGACCTGAGTCTGGACACTCGGGTCAGAATTGAAGCGACTTTGAAATCACTCCAGAGCAGCTGTTCTGCTGTAAAGGAAAAAGCTCCACAAAAGCCATTCTCAACATGTGGCTCTATCTGCTCACAAATTCCCAGTACACCTGAAATCCACTGAGCTCTCTTCTGAGTTACATGCATGCTACCTGAGTACGTGCCGACATAGTGAAGAGAGAGAAACCAGAAACCGTAATGAGAAGAACAGAGAGTTATCAACACTTAATAATTATAATAATAATCATAATTCGGGAGAAATGTGACCCGTGAGAGGACAATGAAAAATGGGACTCTCCCGTGAAAATTGGGAGTGTTAGCAAGTAGGAGCTAACACTAGCTAAAATCTGTGGCTCTGTTTACCTCTGTACAACAGCGTGCTGTGTGTGATGTCGTGTTTTTCTTCTGCGCATGCGGGTCACTTTCAGGCCGCTGACAGTTCACACTGAAGTCTGACGTGGGCCACATTTAAGCAATAATGTGAACTGTCAAACAAAAAAATCTGGGAAAAAATTTGGAATAGAGCATTAAGGCGTGCAGTCTGAACGTAGCCTTAATGTTTCGGGAAAACAGCAGCAGCAGTCATTCATGTTTGAGCTTTAGCACCACTACCAATAGTGCCTTAAGGTGTAGTTCCCTTATGACAATTAAGCTGTCCCCAAGAAAACTGTGACCATACTGAAGGAAATATGGGAAAAGCCCCAGCTTCTTCCTAAAAATATACAACATAAATATAGCTATTTGTTTCCATACAAAGTTTGCTCTGTAAATTCAGTATGGGTTAACAAACAAACAAAGTACATGTTAAGTAGACAGCGTTAGAAGTGTTGGTGGGTGATTTTTCAAACAGGCTAGCAGTTTACACTTACATCCATTTTTTTTATGCTAAGCTAGGCTGAACATTTCCCAACTCTGTACTGCACAGACGTGAGACTGATCTTTTCATCTTAATCTTGGTAAGAAATGAAAGCCTATTTATTCCGGATATTTTTGATTCCTTTAAAGATGCACTGTGGATTATTGTGAATCCTGCATATTCCTGGTACATTCCTTTGCAGCAGGAGTGGCTTAATTCTGCCTGGCAACCATTGAGATGGCGTTTAAAATTATTGCTGCCGTAATATCCTGTCTGACAAATCTTTTCTCATGGATGTCTTACTCAGACCTGAGATTCTCATCAATACCTTTTGCAATATGACGTACAAAAACGACATATCTTCTGTTTGAACACCAGCTTCTTTTACCCTAACACAATATAGTAATATAATTAATCAGTTGTACATCTTTAAGTGTCACCTGGCAAAAATCCCAACGTGAGGGAGCTGATCCACAGAGCCAGCAGGGACCCAACTGCTGTCCCCTTCCCCGACAGCTGGGAGTACCGCAGGGGCATCTTGATGGCTGCGTAGCGGTCTAGTGAGATCAGGAACATGGACATGATGGATGCTGTGCAGGGCGATGTCACGAAGGCCATGCGCATCAAACACCGGGCCTTGCCCTGAGCAGCAGGCGTGGCATTTGCAGGAGGCTCAGCAGTGACATGGCTTTGCTGGTTCTGAGTGATGTTGTTGCTGTTGAAGTCCTCTGTGGCCAGGCCAGTGATGGCCACACCCACCAGGACATCGGCCAGTGCCAAGTTGAGGACAAAGCACCAGCTCTGGCTGCTCTTCTTGTGGAGTAGCTTAAGTAGAGCGGCTGCCACCAGTAGGTTGGTGGAGATAATGAGACAAGAGGCGACGCTCAGGATCAGACCCATCACTCTAGGCCTCACGTCGCCTTGGGTTGCCGGCTGGTTGGAGTCCATGTTGTCAGGAATCATGTTAACAGTGCTTGCATGTCCACTAAAATATGACATGTTGATAACATAAAACCCAGAAGATTTTAAGGTGCAATTCAAGCGTGGTTAGGTGGGGCTGACATTGCTCCGATCAGAATCCACCTTTTGTCCCATACATCACAAATACAACAAAACGTATTTGCACAGAGGCTCAAAAACAAAATAGGATACAACTTTAAGAAAGGTTAAGACTGTGAACATGCTCCAACATATGACAACACTTATTTTGCGAGAGTTACGCTGGTTTGATCACCACAAGATGAAAAATCTTATCAGCCAATATCGTCCTTTTAGGTTAAAGCTTCAAAGTATCCACAGTGACTCAAAAAAAAAAGAAAATGATTCTGTTGCTAAAATGTCCATTTTGATCTCACCATTCTCATCAGTGTCGTTAAAGGTCCTTTGAACAAATGCAGAAGGACAGAAACACTCACAGCATTATCAGCAGGTCTTCCTTGTCCCCTCCCCTCTCTCACACACACAGAACTTATAGACGCACACACAACAGCACAAACACATACATACCCTTCTGCTGCTCATCCGTTGCTGTTGTTGCCTCTCTGGGACTGACCCTTGTCCCAGCCGCCTGCCTGCTGAGTTTCTGCCAAGAAGTGAGATCTGTATTTTTGTGAATGAATGCACTGTATGTTTGTAATTATTTATCAGTATTTTTATAAACTAAACTTTGGTCAGGGTTAATTTAGTATGGAGTACCAAACCTTACATAATCAAGGGAATAAATAAATTAATGTAAGTAAGTAAATTAAATCTGTGTAGAATGAATGAAAACAGACGTTTTTCACAGAGGACATGTCACATTAGAAAAAGCACGGGTGTAAACAATACATTTATTGATGAATTTGATGAATGAATTTTATTTGGCTGTTTCAGTTTCAGGGTCCTGACTTTAATGTTATTAGTGCTTTTCCTAGTATGGCAATAAATGTCTGCTGTGAAAAAGGTCTATGGGTGGTTAATACATGCTGGTTCAGAGTCACTTAGGCAAGTTTTAAACATTGTGACCGTAGACTTTACATAAATAAAGATGACGCATCTACACTTCTTCTCACTGTACAAAAATGAAGCCAACATTTCCTGGATACCCTCTTACGCTGGTGACGTCATTTAGAGCAAGAGTCAGCTCCAATCATTTTGAGAATCCAGTGTTGCAGGAGTTAACCTGGTGGCCCTCTGATGGACTCTTGCATATACTGTGTTGAGCATTAGTATCTTAAGTAAGGAGTTCACTAAATTCAGTAATATAAAACAGGAGCAGCTACAACCGTGTTTGAGTGCTGTACAGAGCTGAATGGGCTTAGTTAAACTCTAACCTTGCTGGCTGCTGTCCTACTCTGGCCCCCGAGTCCCCAGGAGAGACATATGGCATGATGGGACCATTTTCCACTAAGATTCACACACAAATAGATCCGGCTAATGATGCTTTCTCACTGCACATACTCAAAACATCACCTGGCATCAAACCAGCTTTTCAAACTGATGAGTAGCAGCTATGGTCTGTGAGAAAAATACTAAAAGAGAAATTACAGTTGACTAAAGTATCCCGTACTAATGGGCCTGGTTAATAATTTGCCTTAATATCATTTATGCCAATTACCATAATTCAAGACTTTTTATTTTATTACAGTTTTTCTCGATTGCTTAACCACATTTCTTGAAATGATGCCTCTTTTTCTCGAAACTCTTCTCCAAACATCCTATTTTCAGGTCAAAATGAAGCTTTCCACTCAAAACCATTCAGTCTAGCTGAAAAAACAAACTTTGCCCTCAGAAACACACACACTACAACACAGTCTTAAACACTGGTGAGATAAATTCAAAACAATACTATATAAAAACTGGTTATAAATAATGTTGGTTGTGGTTCTCCCCCTCAAAAACCTTTTCACACACAAAAGAAATAACAAATTTATACATTTGCACATACAATATATAAATTTTTTAGTCCTTAGTCTACTATACAGTACAACACACCAAACAACAAATTATTCTGCCCCAGCGTCCTGTCTTTGTTCTGGGACAGGACAGAGATTCATGTTCTCCACCTCCTCCTCCTCTCCCTACTCCTGCTCCCCCTCCACATACTCCTCATCTTCCTCCTATCCCATCTCCTCCTCCAACTCCTCTTCCTTCACCTGCTCTTACTCCTCCTCCTCATCTTCTTCCTCCTCTCTGGTGTCGTCAACCTCTTCCTTCACATCTTTCTGGATCCATTGTTCCAAAACTGAATGAACCGACTCTGGCTCTTTTTATCTATCTATTAAAGCTTCTGATTGGTGTGTTATCAGTTATGACTGTTTGTGTTTCCACCTGGGTAGTTGTGTGCTATTTGAGCTCAACCTGTGCTGACTTGAGTGAACGCTATTGAATGTTAGTGCTTTCTCAATGACCACATGGTGTAGGCAATGAGAAATGAAATGAAGAAATGTTTAAGCAGGTTAGAAAAACTGTAAAACTGGATATTGGGGCTGGACACAATTAAAAAAGTTGAGTAGAAGTCAAGAAGAAATTATGATGACACATACTGTCCTCAAAATGAATCATATTTTAAGAAAAGGAAACTTTCTGTGAGGTATTTGACTTCTATTAAAACATAGAGAAAATGTGTCACTGCACTGTTTGAAAACCACCAGGGACTGATGCAACTCTAGTCTCAGAAAGATTTGCTGATTGATTCACTGATGAGCATTAAAATTAGATTTAGTCATGCCAGCGATGTGGCTCTATGGCAATGACAATCACTTGATTCCACCACTTTGCCCCAGACTGAAATATCATTATAACTATTGAATGGATTGTCATGACATTTGGTACAGATGGTCCCTAAAAGATAATTTGCAATAATTAATGATTAATAATTTTATTATCATATTATAAGTGGGAAACTTGACTTGCAGTCAGAGCACAAGATAAAACTGTGAGAAAAATGTGAGAAACAACACAGGTACAAAAAAACAACACAACAAAAATGTGACCAGTACATACGGTACACTAAAAACACCCTAAAAACAGTACACAGTCTCTAAAATGCTAGCTTACCTGAGACGATTAAGAGGGCTGCACAGGGAACAAAATAGTTTTTTCTCCTATTGCACTTGAATCGTGGCATTCTAACATATGACCTGTGGGGAGAGTAACAAACTCAGAATAAAGAAGGTGATTTTGCGATCTAATATAATCCTGGCCTTGCGGACAACCTGCTGGTCAAAGATAGCAGTCAGGGGAGTCTGTGAGACACATTTAACCTTACCAGCTACCTTCACAATATTGTTCAGGTGTTTGTTCCCCCTGATGTTCAGGTTACCATGCCATGCAAACTTAGAAAACAAATGAATAGATTCAATAAAAGACTAATTGTGTTGTTAACATTAGATGGCATGGCCCTGCGATGGACTGGCGACCGGTCCAGGGTGTGCCCCGCCTTTCGCCCGATGTCAGCTGGGATTGGCTCCAGCCCCCGCGACCCTGTGCGCAGGATAAGCGGTTGATGATGGATGGACATTATATTGCATTATTTGGTCAACCTTTAACTTTCCCTCTTGCGGGTCAAAGTTTTTGACTTATTCAGTTTAAATCTTGACATCACTTTGGTGAACCCCTGACTTTTCATGTACCATCATCAGGTAAAAATGAGACTGCAGATGCAGTCTTCTACAATACTGCATCTGTTCTTTTATATTACTTTGAGCTGATATGTCAACCGAAATTTCCCCCACGGGGGATTAGTAAAGTTGTATCTTATATCTTTTATGTTATCTTATTTCATCAACCGTCAACTGTAGCTTTTACTAGCGCCAATTAGCAAATGTAGACATGCTAACACACTAAATATGGTGAACCTGGTAACATAACAAGCCACTGTGTGACACACAACCAGACCTTGGTAGAAAATTTGCCACAGAGAAAAACAGAACTGATAGGCTAAAATATGAATGTGCTAGCTCACCCTGACTGTTAGTTGTTTTCACACTTCCCATTCAGACAAACAAACACATCCTCAAACCTCAACACCACAATCCCAGCAAGCCCAGAGCAACAGAGCACAGTTTCACCAGGCTCAATATGAGTCCAACCTGAGAGGAAAGATTCTCTTTTTAATACCTCTCGCCCCCCCTCCCGACAAGCCAAAAGAGCTCCAACAGACAGACAATGTAGGAATGTTATTCAACCCTGCTAGACCTTTCAGGACCTTTCAAAACAAAGTGTGGGTCAGCAGTAATTGTGCCCAGTGCCCAGCAGCACCCAGGAAGCAGGGATCCTGTTTACACCTCTGCCAGCGGCATCCTCCAACAACTGCGAGGGATTCTTGTAACTCCACCTCCACTTTAAAGGAGCTGCTGAGGACTTCTTAAGCAGAGCGACAAGTTTTCCAGTTTTGGAAGATCACTTTGTCAGAAAAGAGTTCTTCTGGACACGAGTGTTAAGGTATTGATGATGGTGTTATGGGAGTGATGTTTGTTTTCAGGGTGATGTGCAGGAGCAGGGACCCAGCATCTGTTTTCCGTGGCGTACAGCAAGCTTGGAGTCGTATTAGAGGTCTTGGGGTTGTGCCTGATTACTGACAATAACATTATTGTAACATTATTGACTCTTTCACCTCATGATGTTACAGATCTCATATTTCATTCTTCAAGCTCTGTTTTAATTTTTATTCTGGTCACACAGAGGACAACCGTGAAAAGATTTACTGTGTTTTTAGAACAGTACTATGTGTTATCCATGATCTGTAATTTTAAAGAAGTATACTGTAAGACTGGTATTGTGCAACACATTCTTATTTAGCATGAGTGGGGGGAGTAAATATAACAATATTTCAGATTATTTTCTCCCCTCTGAGAAGGCACAATAGTTTTATAGACCCGTTCATGCAAATGGATAAGCTTCAGTGGCACATATGTACTACACACAGTGGGCTTGGAATGAGTTATGGGACAAACGTCATTTGGAAACACCACGCATTCACTCAGGTCTTATGCCACGGTGCTTTCTGCTGTGTGTGAATGATGTAATTTTCCACACTGCCATTTTGATCAGGTCTCTCTTGTAAAAAAAAAAAGATAATGCATCTTAAAAGACTACCTGGTTGATTAAAGATTAAATAAAATAGCTTCCTAGTCATCTAAAAACATAAATCAACATCAGCCTTATTGTTACCAATATACTGCTGAACAAAACTGCACTTTGTTGTTGTGTTTGGAACTTTTCTGAGGAAAAAGAAACTCTTGCAGGATTCTTCCAGGACACCATCAGCCCACCTTAAATTTAAATCTGTTTTGCTGTACACAAATATT